CTTTGTCACTCGCTATTGCATTACGTTCAAATGTGCTCTGCCCGTGTATCTGCGATTCTTTCGCGAAAAAGTTTTGTCCTGTTTACGAAAATTGCTACGATCTGCTTTTAGTTTTATCAAAAATATCTTTTTAAAGAATTTTTTAATATTTTTTTAATAAGAGCATACAAATTAATTACGATATATTTGTAGTATTTTAAAGATATATATAATTATGTTCTTATTTATAACTGATTTGTATAGTTAATGTTTTAATTATTTATAACACACACAAATATGTTTTAATATTTTTATTTTTATATTGCAAGCAATATATACTTTAAATATTAAGAAATTTTGTATTGATTTTTTATAACGTTTATAGACTCTTTTCTATGTTTAATAGATAATAAAAATTTTTAATCATAATTATCTATCGCGGTAACATTGTATACAAATCGATAATATTTCGCGTGTGATAGAAATAAATAAAGAGATTTTATTAACTGGGATTAAGTAAATCCACATGTTCCACTGAAGAAAATAGCTTTCAGAACGTACAAGTTATCCGACACGAATATCCTTGATATCTCTCTGCGGAATTCATGGCGCAGTCGCACTAAATTTTCTAGACGTTTACTTTGTCAATAAACTATCTTAAATGTGAAAATACTGATAGAAAAGATAAAACAGAAAAAAAGTAATGAAAGTGTCTGTTTGAGTGGCAACGTACGACGAGATGAGCAATTGAATATTTTTACTACCGACAGAATTTCGTACATATAAGACAGCAAGAATTTACATTGCTTCACTCCTGTCACGAACAGTCCTTTCAATCTGTCAAAGTGTTTGAATATTGCACACGACAGAAGATGTGAGAGTTGTCTATCTCTTAAAGTTAAAATTAGCCAGCAATATGTGCATTTTGATGTAAATATACATTAAAAAGATATTTTGATAAAAATCTGTATCAAGAAATTGTATCGCTTAGAAAGATCGATAAATCGAGTTTTTTGCAGCAATACAATAAAATCTTTTTTAAGGAAATGGTTTTATTCGTATAAAGAAATTTTAATTATCTTACATACTGCTTAATCAATTATTTCAAATTAGTTAATGAATTTTTACACTATTCCACTTATATTAATAATTTTCTAGATAAATAAAAAATTTATGGAAAGAAAGAAATAAACACTAAATCAATTGTAAATGATAAATTTTTATTTTAATTTATTATATATACGTATATTTTTCTTCTTTTTAAAAATTATATTTAAAAATCGAAAAATGTATGGTATGTTTGATTCAAACTGGTGTGCAAACAATAAAATAAAATAAAGTCTACATATTACAGAAACTTTGTAAAACTAACTGTTTCTTTAATATAATTAAAATTATTATCACTTTGCATACAAATATAGATACGCAGATAATATACATTTACACGTGATACATTTACAAGAACGCAAATCGAATTTTGTGTTGACTTTCTACCGGAAAAGTTAATACTTGGTATTCGGTATGACGCAAATTTTCCTTACAGGATAAGCCGTGGTGTAGGAATTCAATTTAGTTTCACTAGTCGAGGATCACGCAAGTTAACGTTACATCGAAGAGACGGAAGGGTTTAATGAAACATGGTCGCGATTACCGGTAACATTTTCCAGCGTGCGAAAATTATCCAGTGACCTTTCGCGTGGAGTGATAATTCCTAAAAGTGATCTTATAATTAAATATTTACTTCATTAATATTACAAGGTTGAATTCTCATGGTGGCTTGTTACGCGAATTCATTCACAAGCGCTTTGTAGAAATAACATCATTAGTCTTTGCTTTTATATAATAATATAGAAAATTTAATTACTGTTAAACGGATATAAATTTTGGTTTATTATTGCAGAAATGTAATTGTACAACAATTGATTTAATATTAATGAAAAAACATGAATGGATGTTGGACAATGAATGTAATTAAATTATTTTAGCTACGCAGCCAATGTTCCTGCAAAATGTGCTCGTATGTTTCCCCTATGCAAATGGGTGTGCATTCCCCACATGCAGATCTAGAATTGTACAGTATAAAACGCAGCAGATGCTGCGTAACTTTCAATATATACACGCGAGTTAGAAATAAAATACAATCTGTTTGTTATTTTTTTCTCACTCTTTCTCTCTCTCTCTCTCTCTCTCTCTCTCTCTCTCTCTTCAGTTATACGAAAAAATTGTCAGTATTACGAAAAATTTATTTTGTTATCTATAATGAACTCTTCTTTATAAATATAGAATTTCTTTCGAATATTTTTCTACCTCTGGCATATTTTCTTATATGGATTTTTCCAATAATTGAGATATTGATCTTTTATTTATATGATATATACTCCAAACTTATTACTCATTTTATTTCAAACTATAAAAATATTTGAAATATTCTGACAAATTTTATTTTAACATTTAAAGTTTTTGATGTTTTTAAAAAATTTATTTTGTCAAATAATTTAATAATAAAATTAAATCTCTTGTGAAGATAAGAAAAAATCTAATTTCGACGTAGCGTAGAAAAATTAATTCAACTTTTACAGATGTCAAAGTTATTTATTTAAATTTAACATCTGCATGTTGCATTGCAAAACGCGCAAAATAACAAACAGATTTCATTTTGCAACGTGAACTACAGGTGTCACATGGTATTCTGACCACGGATGTGTGTTATAATTGTAGCTATCATATCCAGAGCTTGACGTCACGCGCTTCGCCGAAATTGGACTTGAAACGTCACTAATATACCATTGTAATAATAATAATAACATTGATAACAATAGTGCAATATATTTCACTAAAGATGAATTGTCTATGTTTGTTTCTTACGTATATCAACGTCAATTGATTTTGACAATTTTATCAATTCTATCATGTAAAATATATATTTGATTTTATATTATTACATTTTTCTTCTTATAACATTTTTTTAGAAAATATCAGATTTTAATGAGAAAAAGCACGTCCAAGTACACAGTGCAACATTTCGTATTCCGAGAATTACTAAACGCCTACAAGCCAGCATGTAGACGCAGTTAATGCCAACGACATCTGACCGAAATTTGCTACCCATTTCAGAGTTTGTGCAAGGCTATAATGTTGCCAAAACTCATTGAGTCAGTATTACCAGAACTAACATAAGCTGTAGGTGTGAAATAAATCAATATTAAATCAAAACTTATGTAATATATCTGCAGCATCATACAATATCGAATACGATTAGTACGATAATTATAAGATAAATCATTATAATTATACATATAATTTTTTATTTTTTTCACACATCTAAATTTTCCATAAAAAATACCAATATATGAAAACTATTATTCTCAAATTCTGTTTGCTATAAAATATATGAATTAAACAGAATGCGGTACAAATTTTTATTGTCGTTTCTCTTTCACAAAGCCTACATAAATGTTTTATAACTTTTGATATACATGTCACGAAATTCCGATGACAGATATTAAACGTTACGCATTTTTAGTTATCATGCAAACTGCGATACTCCCTCCATTTCCATGTTCAATTTGCTCCGCATATTCCGCGTAAACTACAGTGTAATATATCCTCAATCACATAAATGGCATGTCGTGGTTGCAGAGAGATTTAATTTATCCCTGACATCGGGACGATTATTTAATTACAGCGCAGTTGGCCGGTATTTCGCATATTATGTATCTCTAGATTAATTGCCGCAGTCTCGTATCTCGTCAAATTTTCATAAATCCTCGTAGACACGAATCATATTGTCGTCGATCTCGCACTGCTGGCACATCACGTTCCTCTGAAAAATTAATGTCAAAACGTGACGGTTGCCTTGCCATGAAACGCGCACGTGACTTGGATTCATGACAATCGATTAAAATGGAGTTAACGGATTGTATAAATACTGAGTTACCTTGAACATTGTGAAATAATGGAGTAAAAATGAAATAGAATACTGGAAACATCGAGTGCACGTCGTATCGGTATTTCATTCTCATAATAAATTCCATCCACGAGCTCTTTATCGCAGATTGATTTTACAAATTTGGCTCGTAAATTATTTCATCAATTTGACAATTGTTTTTAGAGCAGTTTGCTTTAATTTTATTTTATTTTATTGAACGCCAGTTTTTTCGCATTTTTATACATACAATTTTCAGTATTAAAGTGTGATAAAAATAGATTAACATTTACGTGTATAATATAATTAAATATAATATAACTATTACGTATATGATATAATTATATTTTTAATTTTTAACAATGTTATAATAAAATGTTTTAAATAAGAAAATTGCAATTGTTAAAATTTAACGATTTGTGAAGTTAAAAGGTATATGAAGATAATATTCATATGTGAACATAAATACAAGAATGATAACGTATTGTCGATAAAACAACAAATAAGCTGGAAATCTATCTCTCTCGAAATATCAAGCAAAAAAATAAAGAGGCATCGATTTTCGTTTTATTGTATTTTTTGGTCGGTCGAACGTTCATGGTTCCGACACTGGAGGTAAAGTATATTTATGAGATATTTTCCGGAACACACTCATGCGTGATATTAGGCGCAGACTTTGTCGTTATTGTATATATATATACATCACTTAATAAAATTGTATGATAAAAATTGACAACTCGAGAAAATCGAAGATCAATGTTCTAATATATCTTTATCAGACACATTTTCGCACATTTCACATATTATTCCTATTATATTGATTTGTTGTAATAATTTTATAGATAAACAATAAACAATTGTTAAACGCGTAATAATATATGATTATGTAACATTATAATATACTTAATATATGATTAATAATAATTTTAAATATATGACGAATAATGATATTATTTAATGAAAACAGATTAAAGAATATGAATATAAAAATTTGCAGTTTTCCATGCAAAAAATAATGTTTGCATTTTATTAAATAATTGAGGAGTGATACAATTAAATCGTGACCATTCTCTATTTCTTCGTTTTGCTCCACCAGGTGACGTGTCAAGATGAAGAAGGCAGCCAATGCATACCAAAGAAGACCTTCATGGCACTGTTGCGCTTACCGGAAGTCAGCTCGAATCTGGCAGCCTATTCGAGAACGGCGAGGATTATTCAGGAAACGAAGAATCATAACGACATGGCTCATTTGAAAGCTTTCAGTTCAGAAGAAAACGAGGACGCCGAAATCTGCATACCCACTGGTGTTTACCTGGAGCTTTTTAGGAACCCGGCATTGCGAGCTCATCTTAGTGTTATAGCGCGTACTCACAAGTTGCCCGAATTTCCCGGACGTCTTCTGGACGAGGAAATTAATTCGAGGGACCTAATTCCCGAATCGGAAAAACGCAGTCTCGCTACTTTGGCCAAGAACGATGATTTACCGATCACTCTACAGGAACGCGAAGACGAGAGCGATGACGAAGAAAAAAGGAGCGCATCTCCTAGGTTTGTGCTTTTTGCAGATTTTTATCATTTTCTTATTTAAATGCGTTTAATTTTTTTAGAGGTACAAGAGTAATTTAAATCTCTACACGTAAACCAAATTTATGCATTAATTTAAAAATAAAAAAATTAGTAAATATATTTTATAATAGTTTTGATAATTAAAATTACAAATAAGGATACACCATTTTATAATGACATAATAATATATAAATAAAGTTATTGTTGTTCCATTAATTCAATTACCTGAAAATTAATAGATTTATCGAATTAAGCGATAACATGGACGGAATGATGCGTGAGTTGGTGGACGAGGAGAACCGTCAACGGGCGTCCGAGATCTACGATTATCTGTCCGAGCTGGATCCGGAGGTGGTCGAGTACCCGCTTGACAAACGTAACATCGGTTCTCTGGCGCGTGACTTTGCGTTGCCTACGGGCAGACGTCACATCGCCTCGGTGGCTCGCGATCACGGTCTACCGGGCGGCAAGAGGAACATCGGTGCCCTGGCTCGACAGAGCATGTTACCGTTGAACGGCAAGAGGAACGTCGCCTTGCTGGCGAGATATTACATGCTGCCGCAAAACGGCAAGAGGAACGTCGCGGCTCTGGCCAGGGACTCCTCTCTGCCTAACGGCAAACGATATCTCGGTTCGTTGGCGCGAAGCGGCGGCTATATTCCTGTCCGCCAGGACGACGAGGAGGACAAGCGCAGCATCGCCTCGTTGGCGAGAAACGCCGGCTGGCCGGGTATCGTGAAACGAGGACGCATGGCACCGGGAAGGATAATCGTGCGAGTGCTCAATCGTCACGGGAGATCGTTGAGCGACGATCACGAGGCGCACAGCGAGCCCCTGGACCTTCAGCAACTCATCAGGCAAGGACATAACCAGGACAAAGAGAACGAATGGCAGACTACTCCTTTCAGCGTCTCGGAGGATCTGGACGAAGGCAAGGCGAAGAATAGGTCGAACAGGAGGATGGACGCCACGTCGCAGACGAGGCACAAGAGACAGATCGACTTCTCCGATGAATATCCGCTGCCCGTCATGCAGAACACCAATATACTCGATTATGAGGATATGATGGAAGCGCTCGAGCACTATCCGAACACGGAGAAGAGGTTCTTGGGTGAGCAAAATCGTTCTGATCACTTGGAACATTTATTTCAAAATATTTTTTTTTTGTTTTTCAAAGTATTATAATCATATTTAGTTTATAAATGAATTTTTAACGTGAGCGAAAAATATTATCTAACATCCATCTCGAGTGGTATCGCTGATTTATTGCGCACAGAAGTATTTTTTTTTTTTTTGCGAAGATAAAGTTTCCATATTAGTTTAATTACAGAATCGCAAGTAAGTGGTAAGTTTAATGTCTCTTTTCATATTCACACATGTATCGAATATGAGATTTCCAAAATTGTACGACAGCGTAGGAAAAAGTGCGCTACATCGCTCGAATCAACTCCGTGTTGTCAATCATAACGCACACTCTGTCGCGAACAGGTTCCGGGTCGGAGTTGCCGGCCGATTCGGGCTATCCTGAAGTATTGCAACTGAGTAAGAGACATATCGGGGCCCTCGCACGCCTCGGCTGGCTTCCGTCGTTCCGTGCACCACGATTTTCTCGATCACCGCGATATCTGGTCGAAAGGTCAGGCCGTTAGGCAGCCGCCTCTTCGTGTCTTCCGCCGTGTCCTCTTCTTCCTACCTCGATGTGATGTCAACCGTATTTTGTCGTACCTGTAACCAAGTAGAGCCCTACCTACTACAGACTGAGAAAATATGTCATATCTATATGTGTGTCAGCACCAACAGATTTATCAGCCACGTCACATCACGTTACGCCAAAGATAATCCACCAAATACCAACCAACCACCTACCACAATCACTACGTACAAAAAAAAAACGTTCTCCAATGTCTTCTTCTACTATCATCCCGGAATCATTACGGTAGCTAGGTGTATACTGTTTCGATGTAGTGTCTCGCTGTTAGAGACTAGCAGCTCGATGTTATTAGATCGTTAGATCGCTGGTAGATCGATGTTAGACGATTAGACGACATAGAATCGATGTATAGTTTGTTACGTTGGCTCAGTGTTTATTTTTTCAAGATTTTAGTTTCTAGATTGTTTTATATTGTGAATGGATCTCAATGTTAATGAAATAATATTTTTAATGAAATGCGAAAAAAATTCCAATACAAAGAATATGATTTATTTGGAAAGAGATATCCTATTTTTATATTTACAATTCCCGCAGAGAGTGACGTTGAGAACCATTAATGCCATTTTCATTGAATTTCTCTAACTATAATATTGCATAAAAATACAGTGTTATAAATATACCAGAATTATGTGTTTACATTTTATTTTATTTTTATTTTATTTTAAAGATCCGTGACAATACATAAGTTTTCAGAGAAATAATAATTTCTGTAATCAATATACAGGATTAGTTATAAGTACACGGCATCGATATTAAATACTCAATATATTTCTGTGTTGTCAGAGTCGGTCTGGCAAAAGAATCATTAAGCTAGGTCGATCGGAAAAATTTAATCAGATAATTGTTTTAATTAAAAGAAACGTAAATTTTTACAATACATTAATTATTTATACTTGCTATACTCTAATTAAGTTTCTTTATATTTTTTTATAGAAACAAAATTCAAGCTACTGTGCAATATAATTATGCATAATAACTGGTGTGCATGATCTCTTCTATCTTTATAAATTCTATTGTGTTTTTCTTTAGATAAATGTTAGCATTGCGATCTATTAATTATAGTTATATGTTTAGATTCAATTGAACGGATCCAATTTATGGTGTTAGACGTATAGTAGTGTTCTTTCTTTGTGATATAAACGAAAACGCAAATAATGAATTTCAGGGAGAATCCCGCAGATGGGTCCTCGCCCAACTACACCCCCGACGCGTCGACTCGGTCGCTAAAACCGATATTCACCCCGAAAACTCGCTACTTGCAGTCCCTGCACGGAGATTGTCGACACGGCTTCAAGAAGTTCTTGCTGTTACCGGATATGGATAACTTCCTACGGACGAATTCTCGCATCGCGCCCCACTCCATGTAAAATCTTTGTTTCGCTGCTCATCCAAGGCAGCACCGTACGAATATTGAATATATCAGACTCACTTGTGTTACTACCGTGAAATTATAAAAGAAAAGACGAGGGGAAAGTAACACGAAGACTAAACCAGTGTATATTCCGAGAGTCTGACGTTCTTCCTTACTAACTATTAATCATCCCTTGTCAACAGTAGATACGCGAATATTTCTATCACTATCAGATGATAATCCGTTGTCAGTTATATATATATATATAAAATTTACAAGAAAATTTTATCGAAAACATTAAATAAATTTAAAATTAAAAACAGATTGCATAATAAAAGTAAGGAAGTCCGTTGTGTAATTAAGCGACAATCTATAAATTTGGAGAAAATTAATTTTGTCGCAGAATCCGTCGATGGACAATAAGCTTACTGCTCGCCGACAATAATCTTACAATAATCCTAATGTAACGCCTTAAATGTGCCATTTGTATCAAACAGATTTAAACTATTATCCAGAAAGCTTATCATGTATTTAAAAGAGATTACAATTTACAGTTATAAATTTTAGATCTTTGTTATATTTGACTTTGTTATTAGAGACTATTACAAAATTTCTGCAAGTACATTTCTTAATATTTATATCTTCATACTTCTCTCAATGTCGACGTGTAACAAATATATTGCTGTGACTTTTATCATTCGTATCTTTTTAAACAAGATGAGAAATGTCTTTACGATCGCCGATCAACTGATCTGCAACAATAATTAATCAGCTTATGATTTGACAATATTTGACAATAATTTGACAATAATTTTTTATCATTAATAATATTTGATTCAGCAGTGTCAAGTCATTTTCGAAATGATTCAACGAAAAATACAATACTTTGGTCTCGTGGCTTCTCGTCGCGATAATACGAATGGAGGAAGACAGGATAAAGGATGTGGCCACAATTTGGTCAGTACTACTTCGTAATAAATCATCGTGAGATCGAAATATTAAACGAATGCAGCCCCGAGAAACTGTATGTCACTTTGACGATTATTACTTAGCCCAGATTTGCCGATAAATCATCACGAGATCGAAATATTTTATTTGCTCCAACGCTTCTCTGGCGACCGTGTTAAGCCATAGGATCGTAAAAAAAAGGATTAAGATTCGCAATTCAGAGATTATTACCAGGCGTAAAAGCATAAATCGTAATCGAGCGAAATATTCCAGAAATGGTTGTTTGAAAACAGAATGATATAAATTCGCAATTGTGAAATATGCGATACGATTATGACACATTAGTTAATCGAAAAAATTATCGTTATTTTTCAGATATTTCTCATCCTGTTGGATTAATATTTCTACGACTCATGATGTGTGATTTTAGGTACTTGTGTTAAGAATCAGAAAAGCAATGGATATATTCTTTAATTTTATTATTTGGTTAAATAAGAATTATAATTTTTTGAAATAATGCACAATTATTTAGAACACAATTTTAATTCTTTATAGGAAAAATAAAATAATCTTTGAAACTCTTTTTCCATATAATTTTCGAATTTATCTGAAAAAGGTTTTCTCTCTCTCTCTCTCTCTTTATATAAAAAATATAAAATATATTAATTATAGATTTCTGTATTACCTTTGATCTTTTAAGAAGCACTTCTCAGAATATAAAATTTATAACACTTTTAAAAGAAATGCAGATTTAGTTATAATACGATACATATATGTTTCACTTAACCTTTCTCAAATACTACTGTAATCTAGATATTCTTTTTATAGTGAGGCAAAGACGAGATGGCAAATATTGCGATCGCAAAAACAGATTAAAAAGAATGCATTTACGAAAAAAGATAAAAAAATTTTTAAGAAATATAAATTAAAATGTAGAGCACCCGTTTTGTGGGTACTTCCATCTTTCCCTCGTCATCGAACATTATTTTTTTCGTTGTCGAAATTCTATGATTATAATGAAAACTTGAATTGTTTGCACACACGTAAGATTGACGAAGCCAGGAAATAATCTCCGTGAGTGTAGTAACATGTACGGTGTAAATGCTAGATTAGTGCTCAGAGCTTTAGTCCAAGCTCGATAGTGATAACGCGAATTCGGTTTCATCTTACAATTAGTATCCCCTCATTGTATCTCGTTTAAATATCGTTAGAGACGTCATTGTGTAACATGTATGTGGTATTACAGTTGAAATACGCTCGATGTCGCGGTATCATCGATCTATCATTGCTGTGGATGACATATAAGTCTATTGACTCTCTTTAACTTTACGATTTAAAGTACTATGTATTTGTCTAGACAATAATGGATAACCAAAGTGACAATAAAACGATAATAATATTAAAGTAATAAATTCGAATTTTCTCCCGCAAACACGTTTGTCTTGTTTTTTTTCTTTATTACGAAATAATATATATAATTATAAATACTTTTTATTTAATACCTTAAAATCTTGATTTTTAAATTATTAATTACAATTATTAATTATTATTATTTTTGTATTTTACAATAAATTATCTCACAGATGTATTATTTATTTTATAATCTGAGATACGGCATTTAAATACTTTTGCAGACGACATAATATTGGTAACACTGTATCATCCGTTTGTCTATCATTAAGATACGATATATAACTAGACTCATCGGTAGTTTCATTGACTTTATCATTGATGTTTGACGTTTCGTTGCTATTATTACTACATATCGTAGTTAAATCAGATAGAAAACGAAATAATTGTGGCATATTAAATCCTGAATCCTGTGGTTTGTTGCCAGATTCTTTGGAATTTTCAGGACTAGTGGTCGATATTAATGACCTGGTACTTGAACTCTTGCCTTCGCAATTAAAGACTAGAATCTAAAAAATGCGCGATTATATATGTAGATTATATGTATATGTAAACAAATGTTTTGAAATACGTAGTTGCAAAATTATTATTTCTTTTTGCATAAATTTTTCTTTAATTAAATTCGATTCAAAGTTTTTGAATCTAATTGTAAATATATTACGTTTGATGAAAAAATTAAGTAACAAGAAAATTAAACTAAGTAAATTAAATAACAAAATTTATTTTATTCAATAGTAAAGAATATATAAAAAGACATAATTTTATATATACATTATTATATTTTTCCAAAGTAAAAATATATATTAATCGAAATGTATCAATTATTTATTTACTTATATAAATATGTGCATAAAAAATACTGGCTAAACATTTTTAAATATTCTAATATATTATTGATAAAATCACATTAAAAATACTTACCAAAAAAATTGGTAATAATATATATTGACGTCTATCCATTTTGATGTAAAGTCACTGAAGTTTGAGAAACGCACTTGGCTGTTTCCTTGCTTTATATCTTTGCCGTTTTTTAAAAATTCTACTGACACATGTGCAGAGATAAACATGTGATATGGTTAAAAATATTTGTAAATAAATAAAGCTATAAACTAGCAATAAAGTCATTTGATAAATCGCATTCGGAGAATTTTCTACGTATTCATATCATTTAGAAACTTATGATCGCAGTTTGTTAAATTTTTATCAAAATTAATAAAAATATAAATCTCAATGTTTAAACAATATCTTTGTACCATTTTGACAAAAAATTATTATATTATATATTATAAGTTATAATAGAAGGATAAAGAAAAATTAATATACACAACATTTTGACATATCAGGAATAATCTATTTAAATGTTATTACAATTATTGATTAATTTTTCGACAGTTTAAATATGTATATTGCAATGTTATAATTTAGGAGATCTCTAATAATAATCAAATGCATGTTTAGTCATAATATCACCGCGAGATATCAAAGTCTATCTTATGTAAAGAATCATAAAACTTATTATATTTTGCGATAAACTTTCATGACTCTTTAACATCAATAAGTCTTAATGACTTATATCTAATTAGTTTGATATGCGTATTAATTCTTTCACGAGTTAAACTCAAATTAGTTATCATACATATGATTTTTCATAAAATTCAATAGAATTATAAATATATTTAAATATATATCAAGCCTTTAAAGTTTTTCTTTTAAAAAAACATAATTATACATTTCTGATGAAAAAAACAAATCAATTAAATCAATTAAATTAATCAAATAAATTAAAAATAATTTCATGATTTAAGAGCTTTCTTCGACTATAACATTCTTTCTACAGCTATTGTGTTAGTTCTGGGTTCAAGCATTACAGCATCTTTCAGAGAGGAAAATAAAAAAATATATAAATAGTAAATTTTGATAATATATTATATATACAATATAATATTTAAATATTTATATACATATATAAAAATATTTACATCTTTAATACATTTTTTACAACTAATCTCTGTACAGACTGATAGGCTAAAATATTCCACCTACGCTACGATGATAATTAAGCTGAGAGTGCGGAACGTAATCGTAGCCTTGATCGTACCAATCCGGCGTAGCTGCCACAGTATTCGTGGTACTTGAGGACTGAGTATTCTGAGTCGCGTGCGATCCGTGCTGATGGCCACTTGTGTGACTTGAACCGTACTCACCGCTCTGGAAATGATTGAACTGCGTCCAACCAAGCTGCGTCCTGGACCAATCGGTATTACCTGAAGATAGAGGCAAATACAGATCTCGATAGAGATCTTAATGGAATTTTAAAGATATCAAATTTTGAATTAATTGTATACATGTGCTAACTTTAATATTTTAAATTCAAGATCAATATAAGATTGCTTTATTAATATATCCAAGAAATGAAGATTTATAATAGAGAGAAAGAAATTGATGTAACAAATAATTTTTTTCGAAATATTTAAAACATGGAGATATTTTCGGAGTATATCCTAAGTTTGACATATCTTCTAAGAAAAAAACTTCGAGAATCTCAAAGATTATAAAATACCTACCGGTATTGTGCGAGAGCGACGTCGGGGCGCCATGAGCTGCCGGTGGCTGCATCGTCGACATCTGAGCGAGTTGCATGGAGGCTGCGTGTGCCGGAAGCGAGCCGAGGTGACCGGAAATGGTGACCGCGTGTCCTTGAAGAGCACTGCTCATCGTGGTGGGTACCTGAGCCATCGTGGTCGCCATTTGAGCGACAGCGGTACTGGGCATTTGGTGCACGCTAGGCGCCTGATGTAACGTCGTCGGGCTATGATGCAACGTTGTGGGTACCTGCGGTATCCCGCTTGGCATCTGCGGTACCTGTGGTATCTGAGCAAGCTCGTGGCTAGCCGCGGCGTATTGACACGGTGTCAGCGGCAGACTTGCCACCGAATGAGCGATGCTACCGGCGTGTTTGCGGAGGCGCGCTCTGCGATTACTGAACCAGACCTGAAGCAGTGCACATGATTCCTTAGTTTGGTGATAATGTACAATTTTGCACATTATTTTGAATATTTTTATACGAATTTTTCTTTTTTTTTTTTGAAGTTTTATGAGCCATATACATATATTTATAATTACATTATATGTATTACGAGAATAAGGATCCCGCATTAATTCAATGGAAAATTGTTTTCCGTCGAATTGACTGAATTTTTAATATGCTGTAGTTTAATGCATTCTGATTAAAAGATGTAATAGTAAAATTAAATAATGGACAGTTACGACTGGCTGATTGACTGTAAATCAGTAACCATCTATTATTTAGCATTGAATCTATTAAATTTTTTGTTCGGTAGATCATAAACTATAATATATGAGAAAAACAACTGATTTTACCAAGATTCAATTTTATATAGGATTAGACATTACAAGCGCGCGTTTTGCACGTACCATTGATATTATTTCTGTTATTTATTTTACAACTGTCAAACTGTTAATCTTCGCGATAACAGTTGCTTGATGCTATGAATATGACCATAATTTTAATTCGCCGAATTTTTATTTATGTATGTTTGTATGTTCAAATTTGAGAAATACTTATTACATCATGCACACAATGTTAATCGAGACAACCAAGCAGCCTCGCAAAAAAGCAACAACAATATTTGTGATAGTCGACTTGTATGCCTTTTTCAGAAAGGGATTTTTAGTGCAGGGTTTTTGAACCTAATAAAATCATAGATGAAATTTAATATGATTTACATTCAGTCAAACATGAAAAATTCAAGATGTTTGACTGGTTGTAACTCATTGTCAGTAACTGTGCATTATTTAGTTTTGAGGCTATTATTACATCTTTTGGATCCAAATGCCTTGAATGCCTACATATCAAAAATTGGGCCCAATTCAATGGAAAGCCATTTTCCATTGAATTAGTGCGAGGTCTTTTATAAAATTTTAGTCAGACAAATATATTTGTAATTTTAATAAGACAAACATTCAAGTGCATAAATATTTTTTATAATATTGATAAAAGTAATATTCTTTTCAGATTAATATTGTTATAATTAATGTGAGGTGTATACACTACCTGAATTCTCGCTTCCGTCAATCCAGTCCTCTGGGCCAATTCCTCTCTGGCATAAACATCTGGATATTGAGCTCGATGGAACGCAGTTTCCAATTGTTCGAGCTGCTCGCCGGTGAACGTCGTTCTGCTTCTACGTTGCTTTCGCTTAAGTGGAATGCCTGGCTCACTCTCCGTGTCGGAGTCATCACCGCAACGACCTGAAGACCATAAAAGCGACAATCGTTACATTCAAGAAATTCGAAAAAAATGATCGGTGTATATAAATCACAGAAAAATATCCCGATGATTTGTCTGGATGTTTTTCACATTAATTATATACTCCAAAATTACGATATAAACCTTTCGAATTAATATTATTTTAGTTTACAGTTCTAAATCTAATTGTCGTTTTAATAAAACAAAATATGTATTACAGATGTATCTTTTAGCACATCTATTCTATATTTATTTTAGATGCAAATTTATTATAAAAATTATACACAAAAAGAAAGAGAAAGAAGAACCTATGATGAATTGATATACAATTCTTAAAACAGCATTTTGTAGTCTTATGTCACAAGTTTCCTAATTTTTCCTGGTTTAATATAAATAAGCTTCTAATAGCATTAAAAAACTGAATAAAAAGATTACGACATGTGAATATATTTTACGATTGATTCAAATTGTTAGCATGTTTTATGGCAAAATGCGCTATTTTAAAACGACAGTATGATGTATAACGACAGCTTAAATTTCGTAGCCATTATTAATTTGTGTTAAAACAGCCGTCATTACTAATTAATAAATCGTCGAAAAAGTCGCACTATCATTCGGTTCGGCAGTCGCTCTGATGAGCTCGCCTCTTTCTCTGAATGGGATATTGATGAGATGATGATCATCACACGTACAATGTGCGTATCCGGCGATGGCTATTGCGCATAGTCATCGTATTTCTTACGGCTTAATTGTTTCTTATGATTGAAATCAAGACGTTTCACCTAATATTTCAAAGAAAATTCTAGCATATCGTCACGGATTTATTTTCATAATTTATAATATAAATCGAAATGATTGATCATATTTATAAGAGTACTTTATTATATTTTACGGATACTTAACATTTTTTTTGCAAATTAAGTTATAAATTAGAAATTAATATAATCAAATAAGTGTATAAATCTCCATCTATTTATGTATTAACTTTATGCGTTGTAAAAAGTTGTAAAAATGTTTAATGTTTAGTCCTGATTTAAAGTTCTTTCAATATATCTGCTTGCACGAAACGGCTTCATGTTTTCTGCGTATATGCGCACGCTATATACGCCGCAGTCATTAAAGTATCCATAAAGTCCTCGTAAAAGGCAAGTAATAGTCACCTCCATATTCACCGCCATCTTGCTGCGTTTTCATAGGATTGATACGTTTTATGATCGACTGCCTTTCATCGTGATCGGTTGTACTTGTAAAATTTTATCGTCAGCGATGATGATTTCCAGCACCTTTTATAAAAGCCTCTTATATTGACATGTTATAAAAAATTCTATAGGATATTGTCCAAAATAATTAAGATCTTAATGAAACGAACTCTGTAGATGTTCATTCCACTGTCAGTCGGTTCTTTTTAAATTAAAATTTTATAATTATATATATTTTTTTGCTTAAAGCTCATTAGAAATTAATTTTTTTTTAATTTGTGTTTCAACACGTTTCTTTATTTACAATTAGTGTAATTGATTTTTTTAATTAAGATTAATTTCTTGAAATATATTCTTTACAGAAGAAAATTCAATCTGTAGCGGACAATATTAACTAATGTTACGCGCAACCAATCAAATTGAAGAATCTTTTCGTTTCATCGCCGCTCAACCGTTCGATACTTAACATTGAATCGAAGGATCTAGCAAACTCCTTAATATCCTTGCATTCAGCGTTTCGTTTCAAAAACATTTC